AGGACGCTGTCATAGCCTGTCAACAACGTTGATTAGCTGCCTATATACGAATGTGAATCACATCATTAGCTGCACTATGGTATAAGGTGGCATCATTCTAATCCCAAACTGGAGCAGTCAGTCACTTACTGACTAACACTGCAAAACAGAACTGTTAACGTATTTATTTTAATTTCAATTCAGGTTAGATTTTTTTGTGCGCAACACAGTTTTTCTGTGCGCAGAGACCGTGCCAGCAGTGCACAATTGCGCTTGTGCGCAGCTTGGGGGGAACATTGGTTCCAACCCTGGGTAGGGTCAGAAAGGCCATCTGAGATGGATGTGCCATTGTGACCCCTTGCAAAATAAGCGAGCAGCCAATTTTACTTTCACTCAAGGAAAGCAGGGCAATAAAAATAAGCCATTCACTGCCAATTTGAAAATGTAAGACCTAACCAGGAACCAAACACCATCTTTTACTAAGAGTCTCAGTTTTAACCCGTCCAGACTAAAACACAGTTTTTCTGACTTATGCCTGATTTAGACTTCTGCGGTTAATCTAAGTCATAAATTAAGGAAGGTTACATTGCAGGTTTAAAAGAGGTTTCTGGTTATGTTGTAAGTTATGATGTAGATTTCTAAATCTAGTCTAAATCAGGCATACAACAGGGTCATCAGTGGTTCCAGCAGTCTCAACTTTCCAGGGTGTATCCCATCTCTCCCCAAGATTTAATTCTACCTGAGTATGCAGTATAATATCTGCTTTCTATAAATACTAATCTATGCAGGAATAATAACAGCAACAATTTCCCCAAACTTTATTACTTTTTATTCATTAACAACGTTCTCTGTGATTTCAGTTCATCGTTTCTCTTTGACTTGATTATGGCTTTAAATGATTTCTGCAAGAAGCAAATGAAACTAGGGTTTGATGCGGAGCTGCTCAATTAATCTAATTGTTTCAATTTCAATGATAATTTTGGCATCCATTGATATTTAAAGCATGGCAAGTGAGAAAGATTGAGTACTGCACTCCTTTAGTTGTTAATATTTCTTTAATTCTGCCTTTAATCAAACCATTTTCCTTTATTTTTGCCTCTTCATACATGTCCAAATTTAGCTATAAGACTGAGCTACAATAACCTCAGCCAGTGATTTATTTCTGTAGGTTTTCAGGTAAAGTTCAAAGAAATCCACTGAATTACAAACAAAATTTTCTTCATTTTTTAGCTTAGCATATCAACTACGCTAACCAACCCAATTTATGTGATGCAGATTAATCAGCTTCACTCTGACAGAAAATAAGGGAAGTGAAATAAGACATCTAGAGTCTAACAAACTCTCCACCCTAAAAAACAAAACAAAACAAAAACACTATCTGCATTTACATCATTCGTCATGCCCAGTTTTCGAATCGCCTGCACCAATCACCTGTACTCATCCATCCAAAGAGAAAGCCGGTTAATGAGTTATGGGAGAAAGAGGAAATAGCTGCAGGCAAGCGTGAAGCAGTGATTGATGACACTGAATTAGCTGGTCACACAGTACACAAGCGACCTTAGGAATTAACAGCATAGCTGGGCTGCAGCGATCTCATGACTTTCATTCACGTAACGATGGCAAACAATGTAAGAACATGTGATGGATTACACTATGATATATCGTGCCTGATGTGACAGAGCACGCTGTAATTACTGAGTTCCCACGAATCCCTAATCTACTCCTGTGCTACAGTAATTAATTGATAATAAACAATCACAATATTATAACACAGGAGTCGGTAAATGCATTACAGTGACAATTAGTTAAGATTAAGCCTAATATCCCCCTTATTGTTTCTTAGTAATGGCCTTCCTATTTTGTTTTGCATAACTTTTCCCAGAGGAGAAGACAGCTGTAAAACAGCTAAGGCACTACAGAGGCCAAACATCCACCATATTGCCCCCCCTCTCTTTCGGCCTCACCCCCGTCACCCCCACCCTGAGAGAAAAGTACAAAGTGTCCCTTGTGTGAGAGCACAGAGACCTGAGTGATACTGCTTTATATCATGGTATTCTCCCACTGTCACACAACAGCACACATACGCGCACACACATACAGCCGTCCAGCTGGGGCGGTTCATTCAGCCCACTGACCTTCAGTGAGCCCCTAGGTCCTTGGCATGACGCACAAACAACACACTGTACAGCGAGACCCATAAGCCCCAAAGTACATGTAAATACGCACATACAACGTGGTGACAAAACCCAGCAGAGCCGTTTACAGTTCACATGCTAGCCGCCCCATCAACAGCATGATGTCAGTGTTTTAAATGCAGTCAGGGATATGACTGAGAGTCAAGTTCAGTCAATCTACAGAGAAGTTTATCACTATACATCCAACGTTTCGTTTTGCTTGCATATTCAAAACCTCATTGTTTCCCCTTTTTCAATTAACCCAAAACAGTTGGAACCTGAACGTAGTTGCTGTTGTTGTGAATAAATATTTTATCTATAGAGTGTCGGGTAGGTACATAAAATTCCTATCACACTGTAGTAAGGCTCAGTTTTACTTTTTCCTAACAAAGCAACAAACTCATAACTAAACTGACCAGTTTCGGCAATGTGTTTTATTGAAATTAGCTGATTTTCAATAGAAGTTTTTGAAAATGACTAATTATTTCTGCTTTTTTAAAATCACACTGCAACAGAAATTCATTAAAAATCTGCATTGTCACATCATAGCAAAAACGTCCTCGGTTTGAATCCAGTCTAGGGCCACTGGGGCCTCTCTGAGTATTCTGGCTTCTTCCCAGAGGCCAAAAACAACCTAACATGGGGTTGGGTTAATTGGATGTAGATGTGAACGTGTGCATTAGTGGTTGTCTGCCTCTATGTGTTAGCCTGAGAGAGACTGGAAACCTGTCCAGGGTGTACTTTGCCTCTCTCCCAACAACAGCTGGGAAAGGCTCCAGCCCCCAGTGACCCTGAATTGAATAAGCGGAGGAAACGGGATGGATCATGTAGAATATTTACACCAAGGATGCCATTTGTGTTCATATTTTCTGTTAATTGATTTTCTCATTGGTTTGGTTTGGTTGTGCTTGTCAGAAATTTGAGTGTGTTTTATTTTACTGATTTTAATTAAGTCCAGAAAAGAAACCTTACTCATATCAGTGTACCATCACCTGACTTAACAACTTTCAGCTCCATATTTTGGTTTTGCAACAAGAAACTGTTTCTGTTCTGTTTCCTGGCTCTTATATACTCTGTTTTCAGCCCTTACAGCCAGCTTATTCCATAAAAAAAATGCTATGAGAAACCCAAAGTACACCGTAAACTCTAACACAGAACACAGAAATACAGATTACCATTCATACTCACGTTCACACCTATAGCCAGTTCAGTTTACCACCAATGAACCAAACATCTTTGGAAATACCCAGCAGAAATACCCAGAGGCCCAGGGTGAACATGCAAACGCTACACAGAAAGGCACCAAGTATATTTGAACAAAAACTGGATCATCAAATCATCAGGAAGGCCACTCCCAATGAATCTAACTTAGCTTGTTGTCTCCTGGACGTGTAAATACAGATTGTTTTGCAAAGGTGACATTTGAGAGATCACTATTAGGATGTTACAGCCTTCAAAGCATTTACAGATGTTCTACCAGAATGCAGTTTTAATATAGATACCTCCTAAATCAATCTGAGTGCTCTTATGCTTCTCTTGCATAACGCCCAAGAAGAATAAACATGGGGATAAAAGCTTGGCTTAACACTGTGTTTCTCTGACATGTCAAAAGAACAAAAATAAGAAGGTACTATTCTGCTGTTATGCAGTTTTATTACAAAGTAAGGTACTAACCGCCATTCCTGCTGTTATTGCTATGGTATCTTAAAACCTGAGGGTTTTTTTAGAGAGTAAAAAAATGATAATATATCAGTCAATATGGTTTGGCTATATAAAGCAGCAACTTTCAGGGTTGTAGAAATAAAGCCAACAATTAAGTCCCAAAAACTGCAGTTCCTCTTTGTGTCACTTGAGGCTCTGGCTCCAAAGCTGAGTAAACCCTCACACTCCCTTGTTAAATGCTCCGCTTAAAAGCATCAAAACTACAAGGCCCTTTAGCCTCTATAGTTTGTTTCCTCCTCATGGAGTTAGGGGTGCGGCCACTTTGACTGGCAGATGTGGTAAAATAGGCTGCTATTGCCAGCAAGTCACAGACTTCAGTTGGACCTCTCAACCATGGTTTTAGGAGCATTAAACGGAATTATTATGTTATTGTTAGCTACCTTAACAGCAGTATGTGTAAAACCTAAATGTGAAAAGGCCGCCTGTTTTTGCACCACCGTCTGCTGAGCCGCAGCTGCTTCGTTATCATTACTAAATGAATCCAAGCGCCTTTTTTTCTGTAAAACAGCTTTAATCTCACGACTACCAATACATCTGTAAGAGGCCAATACTGGCCATTAACAGGGGGGAAACCATTTGGGTTCCTGTTTGTGGTGGCGCTCTGCTTCAAACGGATCTGGTCATTCGAATACTTTTTAAATGTGGGAAAATGGCATTCTTTTTTTATTATTCAGGTTGGGGGTTAAAAACTTTGCTGGAGACCTCAGCATATTGATTCAACCAATGCTTAGCTACACTCTAAGCCATTTATAATGAGTGACTCACCCAAGAGCCTGTGTGTTTTAAGAGGATATGAGAGTATGAACTTGATCATGAACTTCTAAAAAACAGCAGGACAAAAAATCAATAACCACAGAATGGGAAGAGAAAAAGGAGCTGTTCCCTTGTCACAGGGGTCACCACAGCAGTTAGCTCTGCATGTTTCATTTGGCAGTTTTATACCGGATTCCCTTCCCGCCACAACCCCAAAGGAGATCTGTATCTGTGGGCTGGAAATGAACCAGCGATCTTTCACTTGCCAAGCAAATATGTATGGAGACAAAAAAGCAACTACTGTTGGCCATCTGTGTCGCTTCACATGAAAAGCAAAGACACCACAGAACATTCAGACATCAGGCTTTTTACCTGTTTCCAAAGGAACTTGTCTTCCTGGTTGACCTGCCAGGTGGTGACCACGTGTATGATGGACAGCACTGCTCCACTTAGTACCGCCGCCCTCATCCTCACAGGCAGCAGAGTGTAGATGATGTAGATGAAGAACACGGACCACCAAATGCCTTCCGAAGCACTCCTGGGTGCCACCATGAGCACCCCAAAAACCTGGACGGACACTAAGACCCCGATCACCAGGTAACTGACCATCCACATGTAGTCCTGGTGGAAGCCATTGCGGTTGCACACTACCATTAGAGCCATAAAGAGTGCCATCGCCACTGAAAGGGCTGACGAATAGGCCACGTGAGGGGCGGCGTGGACACAGTGGAAGGTCAGCATGATGCCGCACACGATCACAAGTACCCCCATGAGCATGGTCAAGGAGCTCTGGTTCAGCCTAAAGAAGTAACGCTGGTATAGACGCTCCAGTTTGCGGGACTGGAATTTTTTCGACTGGAATACTCGTACCACCCTGAGCCAGCAGTCCGCAGCCGTCACTACCCCCGCTGCGCCGTTGGGACCTTCGTCGCCCATGTCGCTGCTTCCTCCATTACATCCCCCTTTCCTCCCTTTTAACTCCCCGTCCTCAAAGCCCAGGTCAACCGATTTCAGCCCCACACCTTCGCTCGGAGCCCCTCCCCTTTTGCCATAGTGGTCCTCCTGCCATCCGCAACGGACGCCGAAGTTTCCCCCACCTCCCATGGCCCCTGCCCCCCCTCCGCGGTGGTGCTGATGGAGGGGGGCTCCGGAAGGGGGCTCCATAGCATCGGGGTCCCGCAGACAGCTCATGTAACGCGGGTTGCAGAGAGATGAGCCTCCCTTCCGTTTGGACTTCTTGCCATTGCGCTCCCCCCACGCAGTCTTGCGGTCGTCCACTCTGGCAACTAGGAAACCACTGAACCAGGACATTCTGTGTGAGCAGAGAGGAAAAACATTCAGTACAAGAACAGTTCACATAACAGCCACAGCACTGATACCAAAACACCGTTTTACTCCTCGACTCGCCTGGAGTAGAGGAGTTGTTCGTTTACCTGTTGGGGTTCTGGTACATGTCCCAGCCCTTTCCCCTGCAGCCGGTTCACTCATTTATCCCCGTGGACAAAATTCTGAAGACGCAAGGAGGTGTTTTTAGGAGCCACGCTGCAGGGCCGCAGGGTGGGAGTGACTGGATGGGGGTTAAATGGCGCACAAAGCTCCAGATGTTTGTGCCAGAGCCAGTGATCAGAGACCAAGATTAATAAGATGACCAGTCTCTGCTGCCAGGCCTATCTCCACAGCTCCTGCTGGGTCTAAAGGGAAAAAAAACAAACACACACAGAAGATTGTACAGTGACAAACAGAAAAAGGTGAAGCAAAAAAACATTTTTAAGTAATCAGGTGAAACACACAAGCAGCCTGTCACTGATGCTAGTAGTCATACTAATAAACTCTTCTGACACACGTTTAGCTCTTTTAATAGCTCGTTAGAGGGGGGGGAAAAGCTTCTCCATGCGCAAATTGACAGGAAATAAAATGCATCATACTGAGAGCAAAATGCACATAAATCTAATTTCCTGGAAAACCAGACACACTTGATATAGTCTGAAAATGGATTCAGAGCTGGGGGAGGGGGCCCAAAATAGCATGTAGGTGTGGGTTTTTTAAGGTGAACCAGAACCTGCTCCGTTTGACCCCCCCCCCCCCCCACACACACACACAAAAAGACCAAAAAAACAAAAAACAAAACACCCTCTGGTATAAACACAGAAATTTGAAGGCAGGTGGGCTTGAAGATGCAGAAAGGTTCCTTCAAGCTCTGCTGATAATCACAATCAACAATAAACAGACGAGTGAAAAATGGAGATAAATGCAGCCGGACAACAGGACACTGTCAAGACAGGAGCAGCATATACAACATGACAGGATCTGGGGCACGGCAGGATTAAATCACAAGTTGTTCACCTATATTTTCCCTTTTCCTGAAAATTGCTTCTCTCCACCTAACAGGACAACACTCAGAGCACACTCTGTTTTATTAACCTTTAAAGACTTCTATGTATGTTTACTTTATGTGGTTTATGATCTCGAATATTACATCTCTCTTAATGCCATGAAGTTTAGGAGAAACTTTTTTTTGTCTTCTAATTTAATTTGATAATCATAATCATATTTTTTATCAGTTATATTTGGTAACCAAAAGAAAACACAGCATATGGCACTCTAATGCCTGCCTTTATGTTACCTTACAAGAGAATGACCCCCGTGAGCTCCACAGAAGAAAGAAAATCGTATCCATGCATCACACACAAAAAGAAAATTTGTGTGTTTTAAGTGTTTTGGAAAATTCTGAACAATTAAAAGTCATAACAAAACACGAGTGATGGTTGGAAGTGGAATCTTCAAATTGATGATTCTTTTGCTGTCTTTCACATTATCTGCGCCGGCGACTTACATCATGCGATGGTATTAAAAATCTAACTTTCTCCTGAGTCTTTGGTAAGTTCAAAACAATCCTCTGGCAGTGAAAGTGTTTAAGGTGTATTTGGGGTTTTGCTTTCCTCTCATTGGGCTGTTAATGATTTATCCAGAACAATAATTTGGCAGCAAAATAAGCTTGAACCAAGGTACACATATTTGGCTAAAGGCACAATTTCCTGGTTCAGTTCGGTGAAGAAAGCTCGAGTTGCTGTAGGTGACTGACAGCTGAAATGTTTTTTGTTTCCATCATAAAGAAATACTATGACTATGACCAAACTTTTGATTGGTACTATATATACGTATACTGTAATATAACATGATAACCTCTTAACATGTACCAGGTAATCTGCAACCTGTTAGGATTGGGTTTTGTTGTGACCACCTGCTAAATACTTACATTTTCACAAACTAGAAAATGTTACATTTTAAAGCTTTTTCTTTTGGGTGTTTCAAATGATCAAATAATCCATAAAAAAGGCTGGTCGTTAACCAAAACTTAACCCTAACCTTAGCCCCAGATGGCCTAACAATGACCTGACAAAGCAAGTTTCAAATAATGAGGTCAGCAATTCTATGAACCAACCCCTGACAGGCAAAAGCTTGAACTTCAGAATAATGTTTCTTTTTTTTTTCTACTCTGGCTCTGTATGATGTCAACAAAAGCAGACATTTGTATCGTGGTCATGTCGGGCACACAGATGTTCCAACAGAAGAAATGAGCTATAACAACTTGTCTCAGACAGAGAATGAACTGAGGGACTGCACAAAGGCCAAGGAGATAGACAAGGATTATTTTCAAACTGCTTTGAATTATGCAAAGCTACTCTAGCAGAGTTCAAGTTTAATATTGTGAAGCTTGAAATGGGCCCAGCAACTTCCCTTTCAAATTACTGTTAATAAAAGTTCACTTTTGTCTGCTATTTTTGTTTTCTTGTTTTGATCGCAAATGCCTAAAGTAGCAAAATCATTAATTTCACTACTCACTACTGCATTTTGCTATACTGTGTATAAGATAATGTCTTGTTTAATAACTCATGCTGGCTTTAATTAATTATAGGATGGGTGGTTTAAACAGAGGGTGGCCAGTTTTTACAGACAGTGGTTGAACTTCAGCAATGATACATAAAGGATAACTTTGAATCCAGAGCCACTCTAGCTGAGTCCAAGAATAAGAATATGGATTAGGACGTGCAGTACTGTGTCTGTTAAAATGGGCATGTCTGTGGAATTAAATTGGGAATTTGTGCTGACCTGTTCAAATTTATTGTGTTTCTACCTGTTGTGATATCACTATTAGAGCTCTCATGTCATGGAAAATACACACAATAACAGTTTGGCGTTGTAATCATTCACTGTAAGCACTGTTAAAGTCCCTTATTGAGTTATAAAACGTCTGTCTGCCAGATACCCTCAGCTCCGTAGTGCAGAGTCGAACGCATAACGCAGGAAACGCACAGCCGCTTCTGCTGCTGCTGCACCCGCCGCCTCCTCCTCCTCCTCCTCGGCCGGTATTTTCACCGGAGAGAGGCACGATGTGTTGTTGAAGCAAAAATAGATTTTCCTCGCTATATCCTGCTGCCTGCATGCGCCTTCGCTGGCACGTATCTGTCCGAGCTGTAGCCTATCCCTCCTCCCTGGCAGCGTATCGACAACATTCAAGGAGAACCACCAACACCACCTCACCACCCTTCTCTCTCTCTCTCTC